CAGCGTGTGACAATGGCCCACTTCCTGCTCCTGCAAACAGTTGCTTCCAAACACCTTATTGTTGGGTTTCCTCTTACCTCACTGGACACTCTTTCTCAGCCTTCTTTGCTGGTGTCTCCTCATCACCCTGACTTCTAGACAGATGTCACAGGGGTTGGTTTTCAGACCTCTTTTCTTCTCTCTGCATTCCTCTTTATGATCTCAATCCCTCTCCGAGGTCTCTCCAATCCACATTTCCAACTCCGACCTCTTCCTTGCATGCCAGTCTCCCGTACACAACTACCTACTCAGTTAGTTCATGGGCATGTCAAATTCTTTCCACTGCTGTCACCCTGGTCAATTCTTTCTCACCTAGTTTAGTTCATTGGCTTCCTAACTAGTCTTCCTGTTTCTATCCTTGTGCCTCTACAGTCCTTTCTAGAAATGCTAGTCAGAGTGATTCTTTTTTTATGCATGTAGATCATATCTTGCCTATGCTTCAAACCCCAGCTTTTCTGCATCTCAGACTAAAAGCCCAAATCCTGATGATGGCTGTCGGGGCTCCCCACCCTTGACCGCCTCACTTCTCTCTACACACACTGGCTTCCTTGCTGCTTCTCACGAGGCAGACCTTGCTGCTTCTCACGAGGCAGACCTATTTCTGCCAGGACCCTTGTACTTGATGCTCCCTCTCTGTGTGGCATGATCTGTTTTCAGAACTCCCTAAGCTCTCTGCTCTGATTGGCCGTGCATGTAGCCTGCACTGGCCACCTGCTTTTCCCCAGTGCCTTCCCTCCCTCCCTCCCAGCTTCATTTTCCTCTCAGTACCTACAGCCTCCTAGTGTGTATACATGACATGCATGCTCCAATATCCTCTCTGCTCCTCCCCTCTAGTGTGTAAGCTCCTAGAGGTGAGGGGTTCCTGTTCTCTTCATGACTGCAGGCCCCTGAAGAATGTCCTTCACAGGTGGGTAATATTTATTGAATGAAATAAATATTTATTGAATGAAACCCTTCCCCCCCGACATGCTTTCTCTTGTAGGATATGATCAGCGGAGGGGATGAAATATTTGGAGTCAAGAATTAATCTGGTTGTCTTTTAAAATACTTTCCAGGAGTCAACTGTCTTTCCTCAGTGTCCACCAATGGTTTATGAAGTTTCAGCTTATAAATCATACTGTAAACACCATTCTTTAAGTAATGGTAATTTCATTAAGTCTATGCAGTAAGGAATGCTAATAAAGTCATAGTTTTCATCTAATTATTGAAATTCCATTTGTACATTTCCTGTGTTGAAAGAAGTAAAATAGAAAAAAATTAGAGTCATTTTTTTATAGCAAGGTGTTAGATACATAATGAAATATTTGTAACTCTACTCTTTGTAGGCGTTTTCAGAAAAATTCTTTCTAGGGAACATAAATTGAGCTGCCTGCCTGCTGTAGAAGCTCCTGATAGATGAGTTAATATTACCCTCTAGTGGAAAAGATAAGACATGCATTACTGGAACCTGAAATTCATAATAAGACTCCATCCATTCTTTCAGTCCAGGGAATACCTAGGGATTGATATTTCCAATTTATCATCTGCTTTTTATAGTGTTGAGTTAAAATTTATAATTTAATGTTTAAAATCAGAATATAAAATATTTAAACAATGAATGTACCAAAAAACAGACACAACCAGTCAACTTTTAAAAAGTGTTCATTCCTGGCCCGTGTAGGTCAGTGGTTAGAGTCTCAGCCCATGCTCTGAAGGGTCTTGGGTTTGATTTCTGGTCAAGGGCATGTGCTGGAGGCAATCAGTTGAAGTGTCTCTCTCATATATCTCTCTCTCTCGATTTCTTCCCCTCTTTCTGAAAAGCAATGGGGAAAAAAATCCTCTGGTGAGGATCAACACACCCAAAAAATTCACACTTCATAACCAATGAACAAATGTAAATTAAGAAAAGAGTGTCATTACTTTAATCTATGAAATCAGTAAAGAAGCTTGAAAATAAAGTGAAGGTGTGAGCAAAAGAGGCATTGACATTGTTGGTAGGAGCAGAAGTTGGTACTGGTTCTCAACCTGGAATCCTTTGTGTGTGTATTTGCCCTTTTTTCCTGAGGAGAGATAGAAGTCCCCTCCGATTTTCAAAGGGGCTCAGGTCCCCAAATGTTGTGAACAAATGTCCAAATTATTTCCGGGGGGCAATTTGACAATGTGTGCATACAATCACACTGTGTGCCTTTCAGAGTTATTTTGAAAGCTTAACTACAAATCACTTCAATCTTCAACAATAAGAATGTTTCAAATAAATTACATTCCAGTCCTAGGATGGAGTCACTATGGTTATCAATAATAGTGCTGTAGAATTAATGATTTTTTTTTTTCACTTGTAAATTTTATTAGCAAATGACCTAGTAATGGAGGCTGGGTAAGGAAACAGAATTCCTGATTTTTAGTTAGTTGTTTTTTTTTTTTTTTAAACTGCAAGTCACCAACTTCTCTAACACAATGGCACCATTGAAAGCCTTGGGTAAGTATGTCAATTTTTCTACCAGATTTTGTGTTTTAGGCAGGAACTTGCCCTCTGGGTCGTCAGCAGAGGTGGGGACAGGGAGGGACACACTTCGGTGACGTTGAAACACTGCACTGCTTACGAAGATACAATTCCTACCAAAGAGGAATCCTGACTCTGAAATACCATAAATGCAGCCATTACAACAAATGAAGCAGGGCAGGATCGTCAAGACACAAGATGAGAGAGAGAGAGAGAGAGAGAGAGAAAAAGGCAGGCGCAGGCCAGTCAGCAGCATTCTTTGGATTGAGTTTCTTCGTATTCATGTTTTCAATTGTGGGGCCTAAAAGGCCTGCAGCATCAGCTGCCGCCAGGTGTGTGTGTGTATGTGAGTGTGTGTGTGTGAGTGTGAGTGTCTGTGTGTGTGTGTGGTGTGTGTGTGTGCACGCACGAGGGGACGGGTAGCTGGGAGGCACAGAAGGAGGCCTCCTTTATTTTTACTGCAAACCTTTTGTGCACCCTGTGCTCCCCATTAAAAACAAAAACAAAATCTCTGCCTGTGGATCACTTCTTCAAACAATAGAAACAGAAAAGCACAATAAAAATGTTTTGCCATGACAAAAGCACTTGCAGGCCTCAGAGTCTGGCTCCCTCCTTTTTAATTTTATTTATGTATACTTTTTTTGTTTGTTAATTGGTTTCAGAGAGGGAGGCAGAAGGAGGGAGACAGAGAAACATCAGTGATGAGAGAGAATCATTGTTCAACTGCCTTCTGCATGCCCTACCCTGGGGATGGAGCCCACAACCTGGGCATGTGCCCTGACCAGGAATTGAACTGCGACCCTCCTGGTTCATAGGTTGAGGCTCAACCACTGAACCCCACAGGCCGGGCTTAGCCCCCTTGTTTTGAGCAACATCAGCATGGTTGCGTTTTCAGCTGACGCCCATCCTGGGGCTTTGGGCAAGCTGTGCCACGTGTCTTATTTCCCACGCAAGGTTTCTGAAACCCCTTCTTGCCAGTGAAGTGATTATTTGCTGAACTATTAATTGCAACAGAAGGAAGTGAACAATACATGTAAGACATCAAGTGTGATGTTTCTACTTTAAAAAAATCAGATGAAAGATCTGTTCTGGAGGAAGGTCCGATCCTTTCTCTGAGTGTCCATAGTGCTACACATTCAGGCTGCAGCCCAAATTGGTTGCTATGTGCTAGCAAAAAGGCTGACGACCAGAGTTATAATTAGGTCCTGCCTGTTTCCTTTGGAGTCTACAGTCCAGAAAGCTCACAGAAATGATGAGAGGTTCGCAGCCTTCTGTGAGAGAATGAACTATGCCCTTTTCCCCCTCCTCCCCCCCACCGGCCATTTGTGAAGTCCTGCCCCCACCTCAGAAAGTGACCTTATTTGGAAAAAGGGTCCTTGCAGATATAATTAGTTACATCTGGAGCAGGGTGGGCTTCAATCCAATATTACTAGTGCCCTTATAAAAGGACATCTGGACACAGAGAGAATGCCATGTGATGATGAAAGCAGAGGTTGGGGTGATGGTTTGCAGACCCAGAGATACCCATGGTTGCCAGCAAAGCCCCTGAAGCTGGACAGAGGCATGTGCCAAATTCCCCTTCACCGCCTTGGAGGGAAATAACCTTGCTGACCCCTGATCCTGGACTCCCAGCTTCCAGAACTTCCACGAAGTTCTGTGGTCCCAGCCACTTGTTTGAGGTACTTTGTTACAGCAGCCCCAGCGAATGAATATACCTTCCAATCCAAGTGGGATCAAGCAGTGGAATAGACCTGGAAAAGAGATGGCAAAATCACCCCCTCTTTTAAAAAAAAAGTTATACTTTCTTTAATGGTAAAAGAAGACTATGTGCTATTGGCAAACACAAGAGAGTCTGGCTTCCAAAGCATCAAGGGTTTAACAGGTGTGACCGAGTGAGCAGCGAGGACAAGGGCCAGCCCTGGTGCTGGGCGCGTTGCATAGACGACCTGTGATCCCAATGACACACACTGTTGACATAGTTCTCTTATTTTTACAGACAACTCCACCGAGTCTCAGAGGAATAAGTGATGATCCTGAGGCAGGCAGAGGTTAAGTCATGTTCAAGATTCGGGTCCAGGCTGTTTGGCAGACGTTGCCAGATCCAGAATTGCTAGAATTTAGGTTCACTAATGGTCATTTCAAGATGCTTATTCCAATACCCATTTAAGTACGCAGGATTTACTCATCATTTTAGATAAAACATGGAGTGGCAAAGATGGCGGTGTGGACGGGTTGGATTGCCATTCAGTCTCCAGAACCTCAACCAAGGGGTTACTGATTGCATCTCTCTCTCTCTCTCTCTCTCTCTCTCTCTCTCTCTCTCTCTCTCTCTCTCTCTCTCTCTCTTTCTCTGTATGTGTGTTGTAGATGGTGATCGGCTGAGTTTGGCATAACAGGGAGTCATGCACCTAACAAAACTGACATTTTCTATGAAAGGAAAGAATATGGCTGCATTTCTTAATGTATTTTTCATTGTTGTAAGGATGAAGAGCAGGCTCTACTCTAGGACAGCCTTGGCGACATCTGGTGATTCTGTAACCTGACATCAGTTTTTCAGATCAAGTGCACTTTCCTAGGTGAGAAATATCATTTTCTATTCACTTGTTAGGGTTAGGGTTAGGGTTAGGTTATATGAAATGTTTATAACCATCAAATGGAAATACCACATGTTCTACAAGATTGTTACTTGTAGAATACTACATTGTTCTACATGATGGTAACATTTATAATTTAATCGAATCCATACATGACATTTGACATATGAGAAAATGATGTACAATGATCACATTGAATGTTTTGAGGAATAGAAGAAGTTGTCCATCTGACAACTCCACAAGATAAGAGAGCTTGCTTTTATTTTAGCATCCACTATATTTTAAGGTAGAATTTCACTTAAATGCCAACATAGTTATTTTAAATACAAAATGAAATCTCATTTGCTTTCACCTTCAGTTATACTTTCTGACTTAATTTTGTATTCTGTTGGCACCTTTCCCATATTTGTGGGTAGTCAGGAAGGTAAGGATTAAAAAAAAAAAAGATGCATAGATACTTCATTTATAATTTTTTTTCAATTGGACCTAAATTAAAGTCTAGCAAATCTGTGGCATGTGAACACTCCATAAACAGTGGCAGGTTTATTCACACACTTCTCTCACATATTTTGGGAGATTTGTAATTTTGTCCCCAAATGACTTCTAACCATTATGCTTCCTTTATTTCTGTTACGGAGCAGCGCCTGTGAATAAATAGGGGAAGCATTAAAGGCCTCTCCGGGGAGTAGAGGGTTTCTTTAAATCACTTTTACAGCGGCACTTCCCGCCCTGCTTTCTCCAGGTGTGTGCTTTCCAATTCACTAATACATGTTCCCTGATGAGCTGTCTGGGGGCCTATAACCCTGTTCCTGTTTTCGGTGCTGCCAGACTTTCAGCGCAACAAGGCCTTTGAAGCAAACCTCTTCTGTCCACACAGACTTGCTTTAAATAAAAACTCAGAAACGGGCCCAGGTGCAGATGGCTGGGCTTCCCCAGTTCCCAGCCTGCCGTAACTACCACCGGGGCCGCCACTGTCCACAGTGAGACAGATGGAGTGGAAAATAATAGCGATCTTCAAGAGGAGGATTCATGCATTGTTGGTTTCAGAGAACCAATCATTTAAAAACAATTTAGCACCACAAACGGTGTGCCATTTTAGAGAAACAAGAATAGATCAGAAGTGGTGTTTCTGAGGATTTAACTGGCTGGCTGGCTCCAGCAAGAGCCCTGTGTGGGGCTAGGCATCTGCCTGTGCTTTAGAAAGACCACTGAAGCCACGCTGTGCCAGGAAACGGAGAAACCAAGAGAAAACCAGCATCAAGGCTCTTTTCTCTTTAGACGCCATCATGCATTGCTTAAATCCCAGTTTCCTTTACTAAAACAGGTTATTGTTATTGCATTGTGTACTTCAATAAAGTAAAAAACGGGGGTAAAGATGATTATATGAACTTGATGAAATATTTCTTCATTTCCTCCTGCTGATGGTAGAGGCTGTGCTCATAACACAGGTTTTCAGTAAACGAACGCAGAGGACCCTTCAGGACCACAGGGTGTATGTCCAGTATCTTTTCATTGAGAAGCTCCAGTTTAATAGCATAGATGGCACCATAGAGTTACCAATGAAACATTATCATCTATCTCAGTTTTGTTTTCTGATAATAGGGCTTAAAAGATCATTAATCAGCCGAAACTGGTTTGGCTCAGTGGACAGAGCGTCGGCCTGTGGACTGAAGGGTCCCAGGTTCAATTCCGGTCAAGGGCATGTACCTTGGTTGCAGGCACATCCCCAGTAGGGGGTGTGCAAGAGGCAGCTGATTAATGATTCTCACTGATGTTTCTAACTCTCTATCCCTCTCTCTTTCTCTCTGTAAAAAAAAAAAAAATAATCAATAAAATATATTTTTTTAAAAAAGATCATTAATCACATTCATCCCCAAGTTTACTCTACAAGAGTAGAGTAGAGTGCATTCAGGAATTATTTTTTTAATAGAATTTTTAGGGATTTCCCCCCAGAAAGATAGATAACTAAACCACATGCAGCCCCCCCTGCCCCCCAGGCATGCTGTCTATTCTTTCAAATACAAATGAATTAGTACTTTTCAAAAGGAGTTTGAGAAGGATTGTACTAAGCATGCCTTCCCCTCCTCCCATTTGTGACTTCTGAGAACATTGTGACAATGATATTTTACCAGGGTTCCAAGTGGTCCCTGAGAGCCCGAGTCCACACCTTTCATTTGGGGATCCCGAGTGACCTGGGATGCTGAAGATGAAGGGGCAATAAGGGTTTTTTTCAGATATGGACTGAGCGATCTCAGGCCAGGGCACCTTTGTACCAGTCTTTCCAGAGGGCTATTTTAAAAAAATATTTTTATTGATTTCAGAGAAGGAGAGAGAGAGAGGAAAAAAAACACACATTAATGATGAGTGAGAATCATTGATCAGCTGCCTCCTGCACACCCCACACTGGGGATCGAGCATGCAACCTGGGCATATGCCCTTATCGGGAATTGAACCGTGACCTTCTGGTTCACAGGTCAAAATTCAATCACTGAGCCATGCTGGCTGGGGGCAGAGGGCTGTTTTCTAAGTCAAATGTGAAAGGAACCAGAAGGACCACAACTCTCACTGGTGAGACCTTGAATTAGAAGATGGGGTAGTTATTTATCGCAGGACTGAAACTTATCCTCTTCTGAGAGTTTGGGAGGTGAGTCCATAATCAAGTCTTTGGTTGAAGTAGAAGATCGTCAACACCATAGAACCCTTTCTTGGGACATTGTAAGGGGAGACAGAAGAAGAACCGGGAGGTGAGAAGTCTTCCTATGGGAAGATATTTTCAGTGAAGGGACTTGAAGAAGCATCTATATCAGCTAGACCCTATATTGTGACCCCTTTCAGAAAAGTGTCTGAACATGCCTGGGCTGCCTGTGAGCTAGCTGTGGACCACTGACTTGCTAAGGGGGAAGGCCGGCCTGTCTATCCAACCCTTCCAGCCTTTCTAGGGAATCATGTCAGAGTTTTGTAGGGGAATTACAAGAGCCAGGGAAGGCCCGTCCCAAAGCCACTGCTTAGGGCAGACCAGCCTGGCCTCCTGTGAGTGCTGATTTCTAGAAATACCTCCTTCCCCTCTGGTCTCCTCAGGCTTTCCAATGACGTTGCAGCCTAATTTCCCGCATTCATTTCTTCTGTTTTAAGTAAAAGTGCTTTCTAATTTTTCTGACTGAACCCTTGGCCAATACCCCTATTTCAAGCTCTTCTGGGCAGCTCAGAGGATGAGAGAGCTACCAAGCCCAGAAGGCCTCCACAAGCTCTTTGGAAATGAAGATGGGTGGGCCTGAGGAGATTAATCCAGATTTATCTTCCCAGGGCTAGGAGACACTGCTGGGACGCACAGCATGTGTGGACTTGCTCCCAAGAATCGGGGCCGTGTTAATTAGAGAAAAGAAACAACATGGATGAGAAGCATCAGAAAATAGCTGTAAGCCTTTCAGGAAAGAGCACTCACTAGTGAAATGTGGGCCAATAGTCAATCCTTAACTGTGCTCACCTCTTGTATTCTTAATCCTCACCCAAGGATATTTCCCATTGATTTATAGAGAAAGGGAGAGGGAAGAGGAAGAGACAGAGAGAGAGGTGCATGCCTTGAGTGGAATCGAACTCGGGCCCTTTCGTCCACAAGTTGGCGCTCTATCCACTGAGTCAAACTGGTTAGGTGTCTCCTCCTCTCTTTACAGAGGATGAGTGTGGGGAATGGGAGCACCAGGGGCATGGGGAAGGGGCCGTGTCTGCTGTTCTATGAGCTGTTCAGAAACCTGAGGGGGCAGGAGAAGCAGTCTTTGGGCCATGACAGAAAGTTCCTCACACTCGATCAGCCAGGCAGGGGCGAGAGGGGTGGCCATGCTTATATGGGTCAATGATGAGATACACAGGTGTCTCAAAAAACGTGTAGGCACTTTGAATGATTATAAAGTCAGTGTTTGTTAACATACAGTTCATTTTCAAAATTTAAAAGAACCTACAGAAATGAATCAATACCTGTTTGCAAACTGATGATCATTCTGGCCCAGACACTGCTGATTACATGAAGCAATGGAATCGCAAACATCAAGAATCATTTTGTTCAATATTTGTGTGCCCTCCTTTCGTTGATTGTTGCTGATTTGGTACCACAAACATTATCTTTTATGTATTTCCATTAAACAAGTCTAGTGGCACTTTAGGATACATTTTCTTTGTTCAAAGCTTAGGCTGGTTTCAGACATTATTTTAAATCAGTTAAACCTGAAAAGGAGTGGAAATTAAATGAGTTACCCGCTGTTAAAGTGTGCACACATTTTGGGGAACACCTATATATTTAATTCGTTTTCTCTTTTATCACTAGCACAAAAGCTGGCGTGCTTTCCATGTGGCTGGGTTCTTGCCAATAAAATCCCAAATCCAATAAAACTAGGCAACTCTTTTAAAAATATATATATATATGTATATATTATTGATTTTTACAGAGAGGAAAAGTTAGAAACATCGATGAGAGAGAATCATCAATCAGCTGCCTCTTGCACACCCCCTACTGGGGATGTGCCCGCAACCAAGGCACATACCCTTGACTGGAATTGAACCCGGGACCCTTCAGTCCGTAGGCTGACGCTCTATCCAGTGAGCCAAACTGGTTTCGGCTAGGCAACTCTTTGTGTTTGACCATCCTGAAACTCACTGGGAGGTCTCAGGAAAAAGTCTTGATTTGAAAAGATTAGGATTTCAGAAATACTTGGAATTGACCCAAGACAAAAACCTTGCCTCCTACCTTGTTTCCCCGAAAGTAAGACATCCTCTGAAAATAAGACCTACTCTCAGGTTTCCTTCTGAGTGAAATATAAGGCATCCCCCTGGAAATAAGGCCCCCCTTGGCTAAACATGAGAGATTTGGTCCACTGATTCTGAAAGAAATGGAGTCACAAGAAATTTACCAGGAAATTCAGGAATTGGATTGTTATGATGATGTTCCAGAAGATGATATGATTGTTATTGAATAAATAAGTAAATTCTTG